TAGTTGGAAAACTACTAATTAAACTAAATTACATATATTTGACAAGATTTGGTAGTCAATGCCATGTAACATGATAAAGAAGATAAATAAATATAAAATATATTTTTTTATTTCTTTAAAAAATAAATATTATATATATAATATATAATGTAAATATAATTGATATATATTATATTATATGAAAATTCTTTGATATAAAATACTTAATAAAAATTATTATTTTTTCTTTTTTTAATTTTTTTTAATATAAATCATTTAGTTTGTTATGATTTATATTGCTTTTATTGTCTATAGTTCTAAAATATCATTTTTTTATTTTTAAGATTTATTTCAGTATTTGTGTGTTAATATATTGTGTAGAATATAATAGACCTTCATCTAATGTACAATGTATATGATATATTTTTAATATTTCAGTTGGATACATAAATCTTTTAGATCTTATAAGCATTTCTTCATCAAATTAATGAAATATTTAATTTCAATGTGAAGTGACACATTATTTGGTTATTTATTTATTTATACTTAAAGATCATTAGTATCTACAAGATTTATTGGTAATTTATAATTAAAAAAATAATAATTTCTTCTAAATACTTCTTATTGTTGATGTATTTTAGATAATTTATTTATAATTTAGTATTTATGAATACTTTACTATTATGTGTTAAGAATAATTTTTCTATTAGTTACAAATATATTAGAACTAGCCAATCATGTTACTTTGATAGACAACTAATTTAGAAAGAAATAACATTTCTATTGTATAATCTATACAAGCCACAACATGTTTGTAAAGATACCTCTCATAGTTTTATGCATTCTATGTCCATGCATATAATCATTTATACATATACTTAATATATACTTCATTATAAGTATTATCCACATCATATTTGTCATCAAATTACAATTCACATTGTCTAAATCTTATTTTTTGTATTATTTATTAAAATCATCAATATGGACTTTTGTGTTTTGAATTTTTCCTACTCATAAAACTTTCTCAACATTATCTAATGTAGCAAAAAGTAAATTATTAGCTACTTTAATGATATTTTTTCAAATTAAACATCAATTGGAATTGCCATGAGCATATTGGCATGTTATATCCTAAAATATATTTAACTGAAAAAAATTAGAAAAATTAAAGAAACACAATTGAATGCAAAATATATTATATGCTTGATAGTAAAATAAAAAATCATATTGACATATTTGTAAGCAATAATAACATATTCCAAATAGAATTTTGTTGATGTAAGATTCATCCTTCTATTATTTTTAATTGGCAAGTGCTAAATTATTTTATAATATTTCATGGCCAAAACAACTATGAGCAATAAGAAAAACAAGTCTTTAAGTGCTTGCAATGAAACAAAGACAACATTGCTATTAAAATCTCTAAAAATAATGAATAGAAAAATTGAAGAGAAAATTCAAGCTCTCTATTTTATCATAAAACTTGAAATTTGACTGAAAATTTTAGACTAGTGTTAAACTTGCTTTACTTAATTTTATATCACATTATACTTGATTTACAATGTGAAATTAATGGTTAAATTGTTTCTAAAAATAGAAACACATGCCAAGTTATGCTCTGGAATCTTTTTCGGTGTCTAAAAGCAAAGATACCAACATTGAACAATGACAGTGACTTCTGTGCCATCCACAATAGTAGAATTCAAACCGTATGAGGGAGAAAGGCGACCATTTTAGGATTTGGTTGCGCCAGATGTGTGCCGGTGAAAGCGAGCTTCGTGTAGATGTTGCAATCCTCTTGTTAAGACATACAGAACAGAATGCAAACCCAGTTGTTTCAAGAGAAGAAGCTTTTGTTTTCTCCACAACTTGAGGCACATGGAGGCAAAGCTGAGGAATGCTGGTTTGCGAGATTCCAACAATAGACACTCGGCACCTTTTTGTGTATTCGGTCTACAAAAGAAAACCAAAGCTAACATTGCATCTGGGGTCTGATCAATGGCGCACCGAAGCTCCAGGGCTGCATAGAAAGTGCAACACACGCCTCCACAAGCTTGATCGTTCATCAGGGCTATAATTCTCGTGACCCACATGCCCTAGCGGATGAGAAAGATTTGCACCTGACATGTGATCATAAATGGTACAAAAAAGTACTGAAGCATTGATTGTTTCCTCCTACAAACGAGCAAAAGCACCTATCCATCTAGTCGATAAGGTGGTTCAAACAATTATGTGAAGGGAAGAAACGAACAAAGAAATCAATGAAGCAGTACTGGTTCATGACAGCCATGAAAAGAACCAAAAATGTTTTCTTAAAGGCTTGGAATCAGTTTGTGTCAAGCTTGTTCAATTTTTGAACATACATTATAGAATCTCTTGACAACAGAAATAGTGAGGATAAAATTGTGATGACTTGCTGGTATTGACCATGACTTGTAGGTGAGGCACCTCATGTTGCCTCAAAGGTAGTTACATTTGTACATGCCAGTGGAATAAAACAGGTGAAAGCTTGCTGCTGCACAGTGCACACATGTAGCTCAGAAAGTGCCCAGTGAGCTACAACGTGAAGGGGCGTTAAGATTCCGCAAGAATATTTGACCTGAATTTGCGAAACAAGACCCAGTGAACTCGAAGAAACTGACTTAGCATTTAGTCAGCATCGCCGTGAAAACGCCAAGTCAGTGGTCAGTCTGATTGCGCAGTCTACCCAGGTTTATAAAAGTCATGCCAAACCTTGTGGGGAAGTGCAAAAAAATCCAGCCAAATGCAATAGTTCTCCGCGGTTATACTAAGATACAGTATGTGTGTATTTGAATCTGCGGTAGAGTGATCTGACATCACAAACTAAGATTAGTTACTGTAAAAAAGAATTGTGCAATGGTATATTGAGCAATGACGGAATCGAACAGTGTCACATAGCAAGCATTTACAAGTCTGTTACGCGATGTAAGGAGAGGCAATGCTGACAGCTCACATGGTTAAGGCAAGACCTGATCATTTTACGCCGTGGTCGAAGAGCTTTGGCCGCAGTATTGGAATGTGGGACATATTTACGGCAGACTAAGCATTGGACATGGTTCGAATTACCATTTATGGGCTCCGCAAAAGTTCATTGGGCCCCACACATACAGCAGAAGTGGGACTTGGAACAGGAATCGAAAGGGTGAAATAGAGCTAGTGAGAGAGATGTGGTTGGACCCAAAAATTGATTTTACTTGAATAAGCGGGAGAGAATGTCGCTGTCTAAGAGGCAAGTCGCTATAATTTGCACCTATCGTGAAAATTGCTCACCTCCTGGTGTTCCGGCGCGCTGAGCGAGTCGCCAGACCAGCGACTGCTCATGTGCGCCGGTGCGAGCTCTACCGTGTTCTACCTACTTGTTGCCCATTGCTTGCGTTTTTTTTCTCTTGGTGAGGCTTATTCATTGCCGCGCGCGATCTCGATGGTGCCAATGCTGGACAGTAGAAGCTGTGTGTTGGATGGGAGGTGAGGAGACTGCAAGGACGTTGTGAGCTCGAGTGGGGTCCTCTCAATTAGTTTCCTTTGATGCCGTAGACTTGGTGCCTCAATGGCGCAGAGGGTGTCCAGTTCGTGGTCTATGGCCCAACTAAGCATGCGGTTGCAGCGAGTGGCGAAGACGAAGCAATGGGAGCTCTTCCAGCGGGTTATGCTGGTTATTGTTGTGATTATTTGGGTGGCAACGGTGATGACCACGGCGTTTATCCGTCTCTCTACTGGTATGTGAGAAATAGGCATTTACCGCGCTTCACACTATTGAGAAAAATGCGACGAGAGAGAGAGAGAGAGAGAGAGAGCGATGCATGTGAGTAACCATATTTCGCCTGTTCATACTCATCTAGTAAGGTATGCCTGTTGTATAAACCGACAGAACATAGTATTGGGGTCAAGATTGCACCATCATTGTGCAATACAACCAAAAATTCCTGTGTGGAGAGAAGATAAGTAGGAAATTATCGAGCTCGGGGTAGTCGAAGAATTGAACCTCGCCTGTCGAAACGTTGTGGCTCATGATTAACCCCGAAATGTCTTTTGATGCCGCTACGTTTGAGTAACTACCCGAGTCACTCCCTCACCTGATTCAGGCTTATGAGTCAGATGAAGACTGCAGAAAGTGCTCGCGTAGAAGGAATAAAAATATCCCTCCTTTTGTTTGTTTCATTGCTATAATCTATTTACAATCATGGTGGAGATTTAGAGTCAGTCCTGCATTCCAGTAACAATACTGAGTCCCTACCACATTCTGTTGAACTTTAAGTAACACGTCTCATTTCTTTCCGGTGTGGACTGTATTATTACTATGTCTCAAGTAGATAAATAGCTTTTGACACCATTTCTGGCTGTGCAGATTCTGAAATCGATACAAACCTCTCAAGCTCGTCCGATTCAACCAGTCCTCTGTTCCACGCGAGGAAACTTGCATCATGGTATTTAATATTAGGACAATGTGCTGCGTATCAGTGTTGTATATTAGTTTAGTGTAGAAGTACATCAGTGTGGTATATCGCTTTTAAACATCTTAGGTGTAATTACGCTGTTGAGTAACTTCAGAAGCGGCTTACCAACGTGATTGTTGTCGGTGCTTGCAGGATCGAAGGGTGATGGACCTGCTCAGATGACCCTCAGACATTTAGTAAACTCCATACAATCAATGCATCCTGAAGTCTTCTGTTCTTCCGATTCACCTTCCTTTCTTCCCTTTTTTCAACGGAAACGCTCACCTTCTCGTCTTGGTTCGGAAGATCTGCTGAAACTGCGCAAATAGCAAATTCTCCAGTCGATGGCAGCGGAATTCCTGGGCAACGTGAACGAGCATGGGAGTTCATAAAGCTAAATCTCCGACTTGTTAGATAAGTGAAAGAACCATCATATCATAGGTTTGAGCTTCGATGTAAATTTATTATAGTTTCTTCATGTAGCGATTGCGCTACAGCGGCGAAGTGCAGTAGGAATACACCACATGTTTATGAACAGATAAAGCCAATTTAGAACAGTTCATATGTTGCAACCTCTGAGTGTCGCAGGTACAAACTATTTCATTTAAAATATAGGACTTGACACTGAAATGTGTTATCGTCAGACGTTACTTGCCCTACGTCCTTGTGTAACTATTCCCCAAGCATCACGATTGAACACACCTTCCTCAGGATTCTGTCTTGACGATTCAGATGTTATCAGAACTTAAATTGCCAAAATGAGATCTATAAACTGAGTACAATTGCTATGAACATACAAAAAGTGTTGCAAAGGTTTATCAGATCTGAGCAACTGAGTCGTTGCAGCATTTTTCTTGAATGACAAAGACCAGCGTCTTCAGCGTGCACCCAACAAGTCATTTGATGTAGAGACGCATGACATAAGAGACCTTCAGGTGGCATGATATGCGGCAAAACTACACCTCCACTTTCTACTTAGTTTTCACGTCTGAATTAGAATCTAAGAGGACACGAATCCTAGAGAAAGATTTCACATCGATGAGGCGAAGAGGTTGGGGATACCATCCTTTTCAAAGTGTCTTCAAAGATCTGGTCACGGGACTTCGCTGCCCCCACACTGAAATGACGGTTGCCACAATCATCGGCATCGAGGAGCTTCATTACAAGGCATGAATATGTTCAGAACCCATCTGTGGAATATTACACAAAGCAACTTGCAACTCATTCGGAAGTCCAAGTAGCAGCTGTGACTCGCTAATTTACTGTCGCATTGATCAAACCTCCTACGCCACCTGGAAATGAAGATCTTTCAGAAATAATTATCCACAGTTAAGTCTTAACCAAGGCGAGCCACAACACTTAAAATAGATTTTAAAAAATTAAATTAAAAAAATGAACAAAGGAATAAACAGTGAAACATGGAACGTGTCACGTCGCAAGCATATCAATCCTCGTCATTCTATCTAAGCATAATGGTTTTCCTGAACAACCTTCTGGCCAGAAACAAAGACTCTCAAAAAAATGACTCGAAGCGCATGTCATTAATACGGGAATGTTCTCCCTTGAGACGAAACAAATGTTGGCTCATTCCAACACGATTATACACATTATGCCTTCAATGGAATCGGGATTACGTCACATCAATTTAGTCTTTGTGCAACCAATGGATGAGAATGAGTGTGTGCACATAAATAGGAAGTTCACGATTTGTGGTTTTTTTGAAAGGTCGTGGCGAGGACTTGAAGAAGCCGAATGAAAGGAAGTTATAGCAAGCAGCTCAAGACGGTTTGGTCTGGTTTTCAAAGTCTGGGTTAAGAATACCAGCACGAGACAATCGTCTATCACGAATCAAAACCTATCATGCTTTGAAAGACTGCAGCAAGTACACAATGATGTCAGAAAACTGAAAACTCTTGAAGAACATATCAGAACAAAATCCACTATACAAGCACAATCGTGATGTAACCAGGGTTTGACAAAGCGAAAAACTCATGAATATTCACTATATCCACTATGAAATAACAAGTTGCGAGCACAAATGCATGCAGCTTCAACCGTCTCCTGGCTCCACCATCGTCATTGCTATCGGAACTCAAATTTTCAACTGTTTGAGTAATTTAGGGAAATTATCTGCGAAGAAGGTCAAAGTTAGATAAACACTGCACATATTGTCCACGTAAGTTGATACAAAAGTCTATTTCAACAAATCGCAATGAAATCTTTTAGAAACATCGTTGAAGAGCAAAACTAAATACCAGATTAACTACAGTAAGAGTATCACGTTCAATAACCAGTCAAAGAATTAATGAAAAGACTCAGAGTATAAAGAGCACTTCAATACACATTGAGCCTCATATTTAGTCGAATGCAATACATCCTACGATTGATTTCTGTTAGATGATAATGACATATTTTCTGATAATGCATTACATCGTACTTGCGAGGAGATCATTTGAAATGATTTTCTTCTGCACAGATATGCAAGCGTCACAGAAAGTGCAGTTCATCTTCAGAAACAATCTGCAGGGTTGAAAATACCAAATATTGTGCATTTCAATTCGAAGAAATTACTTCATATTTGAGCAAGTCCTTAACCCCAACTGTCAATTGAGAAAAACAATTCTGGATATTGGCCTGTAGAACATCAATTAATGTTAACTTCGCTATGGCATCAACAACAAAGACTAACTGGAGGTCACTCCTATGATGCCCTCCAAAATATAGAAGTGATCGCCCACCTAAAAACAGTCTGATGAGCGGTAGGAAGCAGTCACTAGAATGCTTAAAGATTACCATATTGTAGGTTCATAACAACCACCAATTAGCCTTAATGAGTCTTAGCATTGTCGATGTCATTTACGTATTAGAGCTTTGCAAAAGATTCCAGAAAAATGCTTGAAATGATTACCAACCTCTGTAAATAGAGAGTTTCCATTCTCCTGCGCTTTTTACATAATCTCGAAGGCGTAAGAGATTGCAGTGATGCTGAGAAGTCTACGATTCCGACCCTTGAGAAGTTCGTTGTCCGATCCATGTCTCTATCATCTTTTGAGAGTGTAAACCCTGATCTGCAGGAACAAGGTGGCCAGCTCCCAGAACTACGACGTGTGACAAGGTCTAATAAGTTCGCCAATACCCTGCCACTACGTCATTCACACGCCATATAGTCCTCGGAGTTGCTAGATAAGACTGAGCCCTTCCCATGTCAACGTGCTCATCCATTCCTCGTTACAATCAACTCCATCTTTGATATCAAACATTCCTGAATAAAAAAGAATCGGAATGTGAGGAAGTAGTTCATCAACCATCCATCTGACACTGCGCATCACATCAGGCGCCATTGCTGCTCGGACTCTTGGATTACACGACACCCACTGAGCTCCTTCATCTGCAGATAACGCCTCTTTCACCTTCTTCTGGTTCAGAAAAGTTTCCAAAAAATCAGATCCATCGTTGGCGCAGTGGTAGGGCACGGACCTCCTTACGTCAAGAGGTGTCGCAAGACCTGTAGACATAAGAGGTACAGAAGTTTTAATACTTCCACTTTCAGTAGAGGCTACAAACCAGAATTATTTTCTTGTAGAATGTCATAATTTGTTAGGTAACGGAAAAAAAGAGCTGAATTCTGGCTAGTAAGACTTCGCAATCATCCCACAAAGGTGGTGCGCAGCAGTCAAAGATGAGAGGATAAAGCAGATACCAATAACATTTGTGATCCAGTCCACAAGGGCTGTTCGTGCAATGTGTGCGCCGTGCCAATCTTCCTTCTCAATCAAAGCAACCACCTCCTCGGCCAACTGATCTACATGACCCTTTTGCATCCGATCAATCAATCCGAAGTTCTAAGCATTATCCTCGTGTGTTCGCACCTGCAATAGAATGTGTGCATGCAACAGAAGCAGTTCAAGATCATTCTCTTACTCTGGAATCTCTTAAAAACCAAGGAACCCTACAGCCAACTTCTCGAAAATATCATGCGGTTTTTATGCTTGAGAATGAAAACCAATGAGCATTCATCTGTGAAGGAATCAAATTGTGTTGAGAAGAATTGAGAGGTATTGCGTACTTGGACAACTGGATGTGTGAGACCATTTCCAATAAATAATCAATCCAGACGAAATGAAATCTTATTCTGTTCCGAGCGCTGAAGGGTGGACATTGAAGCTGGGCCACGCATTTTGAGCATAATATAGTACCCCAATTCAGGCACATACTTCCCTCCATAGCTTTCACCCCCGACGAAAAAAGGCCGCAATTGGTAGGGTGAATTCAATTGGAAAAATTCAGTCAGAAGGGTGAAAAGGTGCACAACAACGTGCTCTTGATCCACGGGGATGTCGTCGTCCTTCTCCGCAATGCTGAATCCTGTTCCGACGGGATTGTCAACGAATAGTAATGCATATCTGGTATTCCATGTGTAGTTGTTCTTGTGCAATTGCATGTCGGACCCAATTTGCCAAGGACCAAACTCGTAAAAGTTCCCAGTCATGCTCGAACAACGAGGACCACCTTGCAACCACAAGATGATGGGAACATCTTGAGGAGAGTCTTCGGGGACGAGCGCTTCATAGAAAGCATAAAACATACGCGCTTGGGACGAAACATTCACCACAATGTAGCCGGATTGTGTGGATAGAGCTGCTTGGGGAAAATCGTTCGTGAGGACATCCCCTGGTTTGCCATGGAGATTGGAACTCACGAACCCATTTATTGCAAGCAGGCAAGGAATCACTCCCAGCCACATCAAGGAGAGAGAAAACTTCTTATCCAAAGCGAATCTGTGACACAATCGTTGAAAGATAATTGAATTAGGGCTTCTGGCTTCCGTCGACATAGTCCACTGTGACATTCTTCAAGCAAGTGATTGTGCTATAGCATCAGTAATGCAAGTGTAGCGATGTAAAGCATATTTGATAGAAGAGATTGTAAAGGTTAGAATGGTTCGCAGTAACTTGAGTGTCTGTTGAAGTAACGAGTCCACCAACTCTCTCACTGGTTTGGTCCTGAATAACCAATTTGATCAGCAGGAATAACTACGAACAATTACTTCGATTATTACGAATTGTTACAACACGCTTCCACTCTCTGCATCGCATCTTCGGTGAGCTCTCTTCATGCATGTGGGACCTCTGAGGTCACTGCCACATGACCATTGTCATGAGTTTCTCACTATACAATTCTGTTCTCTTGGTGTCTAATAATATTTGGGCACTAGTACCAGGGGACGCGTCGAATTGAGAGGCTCTAGAAAAAAGACTCTCACAAACGCACAGAATTCTACACGATACAACCTCACCAAAACATCCCACTGCTCTTCGTGTGACCAGACCTTTGGTGTTGAATGCGGCGATGGGAGCGGGTTCTTCGTACAAAGATTTTAGACTGCTTAAGCTCCAAAAGGTTAGAGCGAACGGAATGGAAGGTGATGTCCGACACTCACAACAGAATCCACCATTCTCAAGTTGAGCGAAGTCATTATTTGCTAGAAGACTCCACGCATCCGTTCACAGTTGTCATCGGACCGCATCAAAATTAGTCACCAGGCAATTGGAGATTGTGAAGAAAGTCATTGAACCTAGCATTCATCAGAAAATGCCAAAACATCGAGGCTGATAATCTAAGGATGCCGACGAATGAGATATTTTCAAAACCATTCGGATGGATGTTCTTATCTTTTAAAACATGAGAACTTGGTCGTGCTTTTCGTCCTTCAACCCACGAGTTCAAGGTTGTTAGAGATAGGATGCACATAAACTTAAGTTATTTTGAAGGATCAATACAATGTGTGAAAACTAAACCTACAAGTGTAGGTACAGATTTTACAACATTTAAAAAATAAATAATTAATTAAATTATAACGTTTAAAGAAAATTTATTATACTTATTAAAAGTTACATGTATTTATCAATCATTAATTTCACAAGATCAATACTTTACATATTTTAAATTGCACTTGATATCTTACAAATCTGACATATTGGAATGGCAATGGTTTTATATTTTCTAGGACAGAAGAAAAAAAAAAATCAAACAAACAAAAAACAAAAAACAAAAATTAAATAATCTGAAATTAATGTTCTAATTTTATCTACTCTTATTTTAGAATTGAAAGAGCTCTATTTTAGCCTTGCCAACAAACATTGTAATCAAGCACTATCTAAATCTTTGTTGCAAATAGATAGTTCTATTCTTTTATTTGGTATTTTTAACTTATTTTCATAATTCACTTTCTAAAAATATTACCAAAATATAATGTATGTATATATATATGTAAAGAAAGAGAGCATTTTGATAATATTTTTAGAAAAAGAATTATAAAAATAAATTAAAAATACCAAATACGAGACTAGAACTATTAAAAGGTTAATACATACTTGTGTCATTCAAAAAAAAAAGACTCATTCAAAGATGGTAATATATTGAACTAGAATGGCTATTGCTAAAGACAAAAAGACTAGAAAGTCTTGAAACAAGACTAACAATTAGAAAGAAATTGATAAGAATGAAGAAGGCTTCACTCTTTCCTTTATATATAGTGTTAAACTAGGAGCTATGTGGCAATGTTCTAAACAACCTCTAATACATTGTTGTATGGCGTGCTTTTCTATCTAAGAATATACTGAGTATTTTGCTATAGAAATTTTAGCTTTAACTTATTGCATAAGTTCCAATAAGTGATGTTCTCTTATTATAGAGGCTAAAAAATATAATAATATCTAAAGATATTCTATTGATAAAATACTTTTATATTTAAGAAGTTTTATACATAAGGCTTTTTAAAGCATCTAAAAATGCCCTAACATCCTTTGCTACACCAAATCATAACTTTCTATTGTAAGTTTGATTTTCCATAAGTTCAAAGAAAATCCATAATCTTCTTACAAATATCCATCTTTATATCATAATTTTACCATAGCTTCATATTTCTATCTTTAATTTATATATATATATATATATATATATAAAATCTTGACTCTCAAAAATCTCTTTACTTTGCATAAAATGCCCAAATTGTAGCAAAACCCATCCAAAACATTTTTCTTCCACAAAGAATTTTTTTTCTTTCAACTTTAGAAATTCATATTTCTTAATCTAACTATTGAATTTTTTTCAAATTTTTAGATAATGTAAAATTTATCCTTGTGCTTTACCACAAAAAAATAAACCATAAATCTATTACAGATAGCCTAACATCTTAGAAACCCTAGCATGTACTTTAAACCCTAATTTACAAGCACCCAAATACTATTTTTCCAATATCTCAAAAATCCAAACTTTGAATGCTAAAAAATTTGTGAATAAAATTTATTAATATAATAATACATATTTTTAGAAATTTTTAGCTAAAATCTTATCAAATTGCTCAAGATATAGATCAAAACACAACCACTAATAAATTGGTTCATTCATTGCCCTTAGATTGTAAGCACTAATTTTAATTTCGTATAACTCCTTTATTCTAACTTAAAATTCATCAATTAATACATATTAAGTATAGTCAAAAAAGTGTTCTTTCTAATCTTAGTTGCCGATCCTTCATTGCAATCTAAACTCGCACGATATGTCCACAAGAGTAACAATGGATACAAAATCTACACCTTAACTTTCAATGCCTATATTTTTTTCATAAAAGTTCAAAATCATCCAAAATTTGTACCAAAACTATAGCCAAAAACCTAAATTCTCTGATCCTAGCCTCTTAAGTTTAAATTTCCTCAAAAGAATAATCCTAATTCCTAATAAGGCCTCAAGCAACTTCCTTGCAGTCCATTGGGCATGCCTTTTGGCCAATAGCAATAGAGATTTTCATCATCCATTTTCATTCATCCATGCAAATGTCATAATTACTCTTTTTACTATCAAAATCCCTCTTCAATATTTTTTCATATAATATTTACATAATATATGCTCTAAATATCAAATAATTTAAAAAAAAAAAAATCAAGAATCATCAATGTCTAATAAAGGTAATTTCAAATATATAGAACTATTATCAATATAAAATCAACTTTAATAATAGCCTTTTTAAGCTAACCATTTTAAAGTGGTAATCTAACCATATTTTGTAACTAACTAAAATCTAATAATGTGGCTCTTATCATATTATATAGTAAATTATACATTAAATATTTATATGTATTATTTTCACATAGTAGCCAAATTACAATATGATAACATGCAGACTTTATTAGATACATATCTTAACTTGTAAGGCAAGTTTTTTATATGTGCATGATAAAATTACTTTTTTTATAAGCTATTAACATGTATAATATATGGTTAATTTTTTCATCAAATTTTTAACCTACCAATTAATTACAAACATGTATAAAATGAAAGAAATATCTATAAACCTTCTAAAAAGCTACTTTAGAAGATATTATGAAATAAATTTATTTTTATTTATTTTCACTTAATTATATAGATAATTATTAGAATAAATATGTTTATCCATGATATTATTCCTTCTTCTAAAGACGAGCTCTACAAGGAGCGATCATCATATATTGAAGAAATCCAAGGAGCTACAAATTGTATTTGCCACATACTTTGATCTTTGTTTTTTTTAAAGATGGTTGATAGGTCTTTTTAGCCATTGATAGCATTTCATATTATGACAAGAAAACTACCTTGTTATTTAATCATTATTGAGGCTTTCATAATTCTTTTCAAATAAAACAATTAAAATACCATCAAAAGTCGTTCCTACCTCTAATAAAATCATCAAATATTGAGAGTCTCTTCTAAAGTCGTGATACCAAATATATTGTATATTAGTCTTTACGATCTTCATCTCAATTACGTCATCTTGAATGTTGTGACAAATGCAATATCTTGTCTAATAAATCAGCAAGCAATAGTACTTTAATTGAATCTATTGGTTGTTGGTTCTCTATCTCTTTAGCAATACAAATGTATAGAAGCTACAAACAAGAGTGGAAGGTAGAATGCTATCTTCTCTTAATCTTGTTTCTTTTGTACCAAAGATTTGCTATTCTTCATCTTGGTTTTAATGGATGTTATTGATGGAAAGCCTCAACTCTCTTGTTACATTTGCAAGATTTTTTATTAGTCTTATATATATTCACTAATATCATATCTGTGCTTATAAACAAGATATTTTGATCTATTTTTGTACCACCTTGAATCTAAGACTTCATCTATCTTGAATCCTTTATTATTATATACTTCTATAGGAGGAGGTGGCATTTATCTTCTTTCCAAGATGTTCACTATTTAATATGGCTCAAAAAAAGATACATAGAATATGGGATGGATCTTCATAGATTCCAATAGATGTAATCAATAAGCAACATGATTGACTTGTTTATAAATAAAAAAAGGTCCAAATCTATAATAATCCAATTTATTATAAAGAAGAATAGTCTTTATATTGTGACAAAGTAACCATACCTTATCACTAACATTGAATTATAGTTTTTCTTTGCAATAGGCATGTACATTGAACTTTTGTCATTCTTGAACTTCTTTTAACTAACCTTCATTATTCCATGTAGCTTTGCCAAATGATTTATAAAATCTTCTATAATAAAATTATCAAATTTTAAAAAATCAAAAGTATCAAGTTGTAGGTGATAACCATGATTAGTAAAGAAAGGCATTTTTCAAGTAGAAGAATGTACCAAATTATTATTCACAAACTCTACCAATGGTAAAAGCATTGTCTAATTATCTTGATGATAATTGATATTAAATCTAAAATATTGCTCTAAAACTTCATTTACATATTCCATTTGCCTATTAATTTGAGCATGAAAGGCTGCAGTTAATTTTATATCCACCTTCAATATCTTAAGAAGGGTTTTCAAAAAT